ACACTGACTATTACTCTCCTTGAAAAAGAGTTTAAAAAGATACTGAATTAATGGGATGGATCCCAGTTACTCCAGATATAATTCTGATAGAAAGATTTGTAGTTCATCATTAACAGAGGTAAATATGATATTGGAAAACAATAATGAGGCAATAAAATCTGTTGCAAGTAATGTTGAAACTGTAGTAAAATTAGCAAAAAAAAAATCAATGAATGAAAAACTGTTGAAGATTATTGAAAACCAAGGAGTCCATATTAACATAGAAAATAATGTATACAGAAAATTGTTTTAATGAAATGTGTTTCTATAATCTACAGTATGAGGGGAAAAAATGTATGCACCCATAGAAAGTTGATTTTTGTATTTTTACCAAGACAAGTGAGTAATAAAATTTTTTTATTAATACAGGGTATTAATACAAGTGTACATATATATGTACATATACAAGTCAAAAAATGATTTAGTATTTTGTTGGGTAACATTTTCCTTTAATAACAGCCTTAATTCTTCATGGCATGCTATAGACTGAATTCTTTAGTAAGTCAATGTCCTTCAACAGATTTTTCCAGCATTTCATTAATTTATGAAAAATCTCATCTTCTGTGTTAACTTTCCTATTATGGGCATGCTTATCCATTATCACCAAAAGGTTTTCAATTGGGTTAAAGTCAGGACTCTGACTAAGCCACTGGAAGAGTTGCAATTTACCCTCTCTAGATAACATTCTTTAAGGCAATATGCTAGGATTGTTATTGTGTCGGAACATGAAGCGTTGATTTAGGGCAAAAAGATTTTTAGCAAAAAGCCACATTTGAGTAACAAGAATGTTGTGGTATTGATGCTGGTTCAGGATTTCCTTGATTCTATACAAATTACCAACACCTGCTGCTGAGAAGTCACCCCAAATGTTGATTTTTTTTATCATGCTTAACAGTGCCCTTGGTAGTCATTGGAGTATTCATTTCACCAGGCCTACACCAAACACGTATTCATCCTTCATATCTAAGAGTAAAGGGTCTCTCGCCACTCCATATAATATCTTCCTAATCAGATTTAGTCCAGTGTAAATGAGCTTTGCACCAAGCCAACCATGCCCATTGATTTTTTCTAGATACAAAAGGTATTTTTTTATGTATTTGGAAACAATGCCTTTTGCTTTAAGCCTACATCTGACTGTTCTTGAAGAAACTGCCAAACTAGCCACTTTGGAAACATCTTGTGCTGTTGCAAATCAATCTTTTTTTACATTGATGAAGCAAGTTTGTATACTTCCCTGTCGGTAGTTTTTAGTGGGTGACTATATCCGCTACGTCTATTATGTGTTCCAGTTTAATTTCTTTTTTTGATTAACTTGTGGACACATGACTCACTTCGATTAATCTTATCAGCTATCACTATTTGACAGACCAAGATCATGAAAAGTGGCGACTTGGCCTATCTCAAAGCCAGAACAATGCTTTGGCATATACAAATTTAATAAGCTTTATATTTTGTTCATCATTTTTATGGGTGTGTCCATTTTTTTTCCATGATGAGGGTGGCCTAGTCCTGACCTTAATCTAATTGAAAATGGTAATGGACAAGTGTGCCTGTGATATGAAATTTAACACAGAAGATGAGCTTTTTTTGCAAATTAAAGAAATACTAGAAAAATCTGGCAAAGAATTTAGTCTATAGCATGCCAGGAAGAATTAATGTTGTTACTAAAACAAAAGGTTACCAAACAAAATACCAAATCATTTTTTGACTTGTATAATGTACATATGTACACCTGTATTAATAAACAAATTCTATTACTTGTCTTGGTAAAAATACAAAAAAATCAACTTTCTGTGGATGCATCCATTTTTTTGCTTCATACTGTACATCTTTTGGTTTTACCTATAAAAACTCATGTTGCATTTAGTTATGATGTAAACATCTTCAAAATAAGTCCTTATTAATAGAAAACTAAAACCCACAGGATATATTAATCTAATATCTTGAAAATTTTATCTACTTTGGCTGGTTTGTACCAATTTTCAATATGAAAACATTTGACTTGCAAAATAACATCTAATTACTGTAGAATTATTCCATTCAGCCAATTAAAAGTATATAAAGGAATTCCCAAAGATCTGTTGGAACCGTGAGGTAACCATGACCTTTTTGAATAAGGATATCACAATAATCCGGAACTTTATTTACATTATTTGGACTATTGTCCTCATCTTTGTTGCCATATTTATTACAACGTTTTGGCTGTTGTACGCTCCAGCCTTATTCAGGTGGTTGGAATGTCGAACTGAACCCTCTATTTCACTCACTGGGGTAGACTGTTCTAGTTCCACATGCCATGTTTAATGGATGTCAAGGACACATGGCACAGTGGATAACGGCGTTGGTTAGATCCAGTGACAGGACCCAAAGAGTGTGAGTTCAATACCTGGTTAAGGCAGTGGAGAACTTTCAGAGGGAAATTAACAGGAGATAACTGATAACTGACATCCATTAAACATGGCACGTGGAATCAGAACAGTCTACCCCAGTGAGCGAAATAATAGGGTTCAGTTCGACATTCCAACTATCTGAAGAAGGCCAGAGCATACAACAGCTGAAACGTTGTAATAAATATGGCGACAAAGATGAGGACAATAGTCTGAATAATGTAAATAATGTACATAATACCTCATCTCAGAAATATAGACAGATACCAATCCGGAACTTATACTGGGAGAAAACCACCTGCATATGGATAGAAAGTGAATTCAGTAAAATTAGAAAGGTGTGTAAAACAAGGATACGTCATGTCAGTGGACTTATTTAACTTTTATAGTAAGGTGATTCTGGTGAGAGAATTAGAATTCCTACCAGGATTCATTATTGGTGGCCACAATCTTAATGTAAGACATGGAAATGACATTGTTGAGAGTAGACATAGAAAAGGAACTACAGGAGCTCTTACAGAAGGTAGTGAAGGGAAGCAAGAAAGGACTAACCATCAACTGCAACAAGATAGAATGTATGATTGTCAGCAAAAGGAACAGGCCAACATAAAAATGACAAATTGTAGATACCAAAATCAAGTACAACAATTTAAATATCTAGGAAGTATTTTAACAAAGAAGAGAAAAATGTGACACTGAAATCTGAAAGTACATTGGGATAGCAAAAGATGCTTTCTAAAAGATAAGCAAAGTATTAAGAAACAAAGTATTAAGAAACAAAGAAAATTTCATTAGAAACAAAGAAAAGTACTTAACTGTTATGTAATACCAGTCCTCCTATATAGCAGTGACTACTGAACAATCTCACTGACAAAGCACCAGAAATGTGGTTCTACAGAAGGCTGTTGAGAATACCATGGACTGAACATGTGAGCAACAAAGTTTTAGAGAAAATGGGGACAAAAACAATACTTGGCATCAGAAAGAGAGAGGTGAAATTTCTTTGGCATATGAGGAAAAAGAGCTTAGAAAATTGAACACTCACAGGACATACTGAAAGCAAGAGGGACAAAGCAAAACAGATTTAAAGACTGAATCAGTTCAAAAATTCATTCAAAGATACCATAAACTTTTAATTTGTGAAGAAACCCAGTATGCTAAAACCTGTCAAATGCCTTTGAGATATGCAAAGTAAGAGAGGAAGCTTCACCATTCTTATCTAAAGCTTGATAGACACTTGCAGCAACATATCAGCAGTTGACCGATTTTGTTCCTCAAATTTCATTAACAGGCCTATCAAATCTATGTATTATAAGCAGCACATGTTGGCCATCTTTTGTTTTACACACACTCTCTCTCGAATACAGTGTATGAGAGTCAAGCAGATCAGTTCCTAGGAAACTGATAGCCCGACATCAGCACATGAGATTTGATTATAGTGGTGAAGGTTTTGTGCAGAACCATCTTCACTTTTTGAAGGGCCAAATACAAAGACAATGCACTACGTGCAACAGGGTCCCCAAACAACCCTCTGCAGGTTTTGAATTCAGAGTTGTCCTTCTCCTAGACCAGTTGCCATCCAATGCTATAGAAGTCAGTCTGTCCTGCTATTTACCCATAGCTGGAGGGAGAAGAACAGGATTCACACCTTTCCCAAGGGTATTAGCACGTAAGTGAATGTAATGGATTCGAGTGGAATTCAAACTTGGCTTTCTGATTCCTCAATCCAAGCCGCTATCCATTACTCCAACGCCTCACAAAAGAACGAAAAGATGAAATTTTTGTCTCCCACCACCACTTTTTTTTTTTTTTTTTTTTTTTTAATTAAATAAAGCCAACTTTGTAAAACTTAGTTCCTAAATACAGGAATGTTTAGGGAGATAGTAGGTAAGGAGGATGTATTAAAACCTTACCCACTTTATCCTTTGATGTACGTCAGACAAGTGAGTTAGGAATGGAAAACTTAGTAACTTAAAATGGCACCTGACAAATTTGATTGTTAGAAAAAAAAAAATGAAAATAAAAAAAAAAATTGCCATTTCAAAATCCCAATTTCTGTTTCAAGTAGGCCATTTTGTTTTTTTGTTTTCATGGAAAATAAGCCCTGCTAAAAATTACATAAAATTATAAGATAAAAAAAAATAACACAAAAGGACATTGAAAATAGAAAACAGACTGAATAGATATGCATTTATATTAGAGCACTGAAAATTAAAGTGGATGAAAAAAAAAACAAAAAACAAAAAAAAACTTTATTAAATAAACAGTATTTTAAAAAAAAAAAGTACAGGGTGGTCCGAAAGTCTTGTCACTACCTTTCTTACAAAATGTAGGAGCTCATGTCAGCCATCTGAAATTATATGACAAGACTTTCAGACCACCCTGTATATTTCTAAGTTGTGGTTATCACAGAATGATTACAAATATAAGCAAATAAATGCTGAACACTGAAAAGAAAAAAAAATGCAAAATACTTACTCAGGTCATAGCTGTAGATTTCTTGTGAAAAAAAAATATATTACTCATTTGTTCTAAAATATAGAAACTGATTAAATTTGAAGAAAATGTACTTACCAACAACTATGAGAGACAGTGTAAAAGCAATACACAGTAATGCAAAGAGAAAAGCAAAACCTACAAAGAATTGAAAAAGAAAACTTTAAATATGTGCAAGTCAATAAAATTATACTGATGTCATTTAAAAACTTACTGAATAAATAAAATAACCAAAAATATTTTGTAATATATATAAAAAAGGTTTCATGTTTACAATCAGTAATAATGAAAAAGTTTATTGATTGAAAATAACTATCTTTTATATTTTGCTCAGAAAGGTGTCAACAAAATTATGGAAGAAAACAGCATTGTTTATAAATTGAGCAAATGAAGATGAAACAAGGATGGTGCAGTTGATACAAGTCTAGTGAGTTTGTATTGGAAATGATAAATGTAATAGATGCACTAGATGACAGAAAACATACATTTCCTTCTTTCCTTGCATTGATTTTAAAGTGAGAATCTATAAGGTAAACCAAGAGATGATATGATTATCTTGTTTTTCTTTTTCAATACAAACAGAAACGGAATTAAAAAAAACAACAACAATGCAACAACACAAAATAGCAGAAAAGAAAATGGTAACAACAAAATACAGCAAAAACATAACAATTTTTATTCTTTAGAAAATTGATTTTCCCCTCCTTTCAAGGAAATCAAAGAGTATTTTGAATGCTTCAACAAATCCATATTAAAGTGTGTGGTGGGGGGATGGAGAGAGAACGAAACAAAAATATTCTTTGACCTCTTGAGTTTATCAGAGCCCAAATTTAAAATCTTAAGTCAATGGGTTTAAAACCTAAGACGAAACAAGCTTTCTTGTATTCTATGTTTAAATCTTTTCTATTTGTAAATCTCCGAAAATAAAAGAGTATTTATAGCGTTGATTACAGTTAATCATTGAAACTTTCAATGCAAAATGTACTTAAAATTAAAATCCCAAGATATCTATGTCACTTTGTGTTTAGGCTCTATTTGAGATGTCATCAGATCAATCAAAAGAAAAATTAAGAATAATGAAATCGTCAAAATGTCTGTCATTATAGCCAAGTATAATAAAGTGAGGTTGGCGTGGTGTAGTAATGGATAGCAGCTCAGATTGAGGATTCAGAGAGCTGAGTTTGAATTCCAGTTGAATCCATTACATTCACTTACATGCTAATACCCTTGGGAAATGTATGAATCCTCTTCTTCTCCTCCCTCCCCCAACTATGGGTAAATAGCAGGACAGACTGGGTTTTATAGCCTTGAATGGCAACTGATCTACCATAGAAAGAAATGGCAACCTACTGTGGGGAAAAGAATCTGCCTCGTCAGTCATGTATTGAAAGATACATAAGACAAGAATGAGATTTGGACTCAATGTGGCACCAGCTATCATAAAAGCCATCGTGGATACTGTGCTGGCAAAAGATCAGTCCATTCTCCAGGCTACTTCAGCTATATATTGATGACATCTATGTTCATTAACATAGATGTCATCAATATATAGCTGAAGTAGCCTGGAGACATGACATCTGCAACATGCGTAAGAAAATATCTTGCAGATTTTGGATTGACGTGCAAAAACCCAGAATGATGGGAGGACAATACACAAGTGCTTAGCTTGCAAGTTTGAGGGGGAGCAGAACACCTTGTACTGGAAATGTGGGAGTGAACTACCGAAAGGATCCGAAATCTTTGGTTGGCAAAAAATATTTTCACAATCCAGAAAATTAGAAGGATGCTTTCCTGTTTGTGGCTAGCTCCATATTGCAACCACCTTCATTAAATGTAAAGCAACTGAAGTTATGTCCAGCTGAGACAATGAAGTAACAGACACCCCTCCCTCAACAACATTATGGACATCATTACCAGAGTACTCCAGGATGATCCTGTGTGAGGCAAGTGATGTATCAACGGACATGAGTTTGAAGTATGGGTTGATGCAAACTTCCTTGCAACTGGACTGACCCTTGAGTTAAATGGAGACATAGTGGAGGATGCATGTTGGTTGCATCCCAAAAGGCTGTTCAGCATATAAATGTAGCCGAGTTGGATGCTGTACTTAGGTGTTAATGTAGCACTTCAATGGAGAGCAAAAATGCTGCAGTTATTCATGGACCCTGTATGTGTTCATGGATGGATATCCGATACATTCACTGGAAAAGCCAGAATACACACAAAGGCCTCCTCAAGGAGGAGGCACAGCACCTGGAAAAACTGGTCAGTGAATAGGACTTATCAGTGGACATAGCTAATGAAATGCGACCAGAACCAAGCAGAGAAGAAATGGCTCAATGCAGTGAGGAAAATGGAATCAGTGAAACTTTCTTATGCAGCATCAGTGAGATGGCTTGACAAAATAAGGTCAGTACACCTTCAAAGTGGGCATCCTGTCATTAAAAGGATCCTGTACTTTGCAAGGTGGATTGAGCCAGCAGTGTCCAGAGGAGTGGTTAGGGCCATAGTGAGAGAATGTAGAGAGTGTCAGTCCATTGACCCATCACCAGTATGATGGCCAAGAGGAAAGTTAGACATTAGTAATATGTGAACCCAGGTTGGGATGAACATCACTCATCACGATGGCAAACATTACCTGTGCTGACTGACTGTGGACCCACAATTAGGTGAAAACTGCATTGACAAGATTCAACCAGCATCATCAACCATTTAAAAGCCCTTGAATGGGGACTTCCTGTTCAACTTCTCACCGACAATGACACTATGCCAACCTTTAGTTGTCACCTGTATGATCATCAGACCAGGGAGAGTGTGATGAATGAGAAAGTCACTTAATAAGAAAAAAGGGCATGTGTGTTCTGTATTTTATGCCAAAGACAAAATAACCAAAATAGAAACAAGCCAGTCACGGCGGTTGCCATAAATGCATCTCAGATATGCTAATATTATTTGTCCTTTCCAACTGTCAACCAATCAAAAAATTGTTCTCTCAAAGAAAGCAGTTGGCATTCATGAATTGGGGTAGTTTATTTTTCCTTTCTAGGTCTGTTGGCTTGCGAGTGACCGTTGCATTGTCGTTAGATTTTTGACTGTTTATGTGTATTGGGATTTTCACATTGGATCTGCAATTCATGATTTCAACATTTCTCTCTGCTTCTGGATCTGAGTTTACACCTGCAATTTGTTTATTCCATTTTGGAATTGAGCTGCCATATCAATTTTTGAACAATAATCTTACTTGATTTCTTCAAATTAAGGTATCACTTTCTTAAAGAATAGAGACAAAAGTAGCTATTTTAACCTTTCCTTGTAACCGAGTATACAACAATCTTGAATTTCATTTTGATGAACTTTGTTTAATCATACATCTCAAAATAGCCTTTATATTACAGTATAAAATACTTTAGTTAAAAGGTTGTATATAGAGGCTCACAAGCCTTAGAATTTTAGAAGAGCAGAAGGAGATAACGAAAGAAAAGATTTTCTTGATCATACAATCAAAAGAAACTAAAGAGCTCTTCTATTGCCTTTTGGGGTTTTGCCATTGAATTGATTGCATTTTGTTCTCTTTGCATTATAGAGTTCCTTCAAGCATTTTCTTTTCTTATTCTTCCTTCTTAAGGAACCACTAACCAAACTCCCATTGCTTTTTGCTCCCTAATGCACTAATTATCTGAATCATTTTTTAAGCTGGAACTTCCAGGGATACAAGGAATACATGAATAAATAATGGTGGAGAGAAAAGATAAAAAAAGTATATCTACTTGCAGACCTGTAGAATGGGCTGACATAAACAAAACATTATTAAAATATATAAATAAATATAACAAGAGTCCAACTAGAAAAAAAAAAAAAATTGCACCAGAACCAAATAAATTACATCATTAAAAATATATAAGTGGGGGGGAGAATAACAAGAAAAAATTCTTGGAAATTTGAGGAAAAAAAAAAATCTTCATGCTTAAATTTGTTTGCCTAAAGATAAGCTGAGAGACATTTTTATTATTAGGAAAATTAAAATTGATGCTTTGTTAGGAAAAGTAAAATAACGAGAAAATTCAGAATCTTTTCAATACTGGAGACATACAAAGAATGAACAAAATTATATGAATAAACAGAAATAAAGATTAATTAAAAAGACAAATATATTGACAGTAGTTATCATTTAATGATTTTTTTCAGTGTCCTTAATTATAGTTTTATCATGTTGCAACTTAGAAAGGGTTACTGAATGAGGCATAACCAAAACAGAGGTTGGAAATGAAATGGTAATCTTTATAACATCAACTAAATACAATACTCGCCAGCAGTGTGAAGTAGTTACACCACATACTAGTGGTGGACTACTTAGACAGCAGATTACCCTACCCCAACTTACAATAGTTGGGAATGTGTTTATGAGGATTGGGACATGCCCATTAGTCTTCATAGGTATGGATGGTATAACATATCAGAAAGTTTTCTGTTAGCCAATTCTCCATTCTTCTGGTGAATGTGGTATTTAATGAATTGGGTTCAAATTTAAAAATTAAAAGTACTTCTTAATAAGAAAAATGTAAGAACATTATGTTTAAGGCTTTGTTACATTCAAGATTTTTCCACAGGACAATAGCCTAGTTGATTAAAGGATTCATTTATGAATCTGGTGGCATACTTGTGAGTTCAATCCTTGAGCTGTATATTACAAAACTAGACTCAATAGAAACAGGACTAGCATTAATTGAACAGTACTGAAAAGAAGAGATATAACAAGACATCAAGAATTGAATAGCAGATTGACAAAAATCTTCCCTGTAGATTGAATAAAGTGTTTATTTTGAAATTCCATGAAAGTTACTTGGATTGAAGAAAGCTGGATGGCACAACAGTTAAAATGTGATAAAGATGAGAACATTAGCCTGAATATAAATAATGTAGGAAAAAAAAAGTTGATTTTTTGTGCTTCAAATACTGTATGACTTTGAATACACTTATGATGATAATATATATATATATATATATATATATATATATATATATATATATATATATATATATATATATATATATGTGTGTTTGTGTGAGTGATGTATGCTTGTGATATTTAATGGTTGCACACACAATCTGATTACATTTGACATTGGAATAATATATTCCTTTCCTACTCAGTATGGACAGCCTGTACTCTGGGTTCAACAATAAAATCAAACTTGAAGAAAAAAAAAATTCAGATAATTATAACTTTTCAGAAATTATTCAGTAATAAATAGAATTGTTTTTGAAAGTTTTATTAAATTTTTTTTATTTTGTAAAAAATATTTTTAGGCATGTCATAAAATTAAAACTGAAATGGACATCTGTGTCAAGAGAACTAATTTCCATGTCTGACAACTACCCCTGGATAACAGGAAAAGAGTACAAACCAAACTTTGTGGCCTTCTGAAGTCATTTTTAAGACTCCTGAATTTAAACTGAATCTATTTTTAAATGAACAAACAACTTTTGTTAATCTCGATTGATCTAGTGCAAATAAAAAAAATAAAAAAATAGTATTTTAAATTTTCATTAAAAGAAAAAGTTATTTTACTAAGAAATATCTTTATTTTTGGAGTCAGACATGAAAGTGTCTTCATATGAATGAAAATGTTATGAGAAAACGATTATGCATTACTTTACTTTGGTAATATAGAATTTCCAAGAATTGATGATTAAATGTGAATGGCAGTTGAAATAAGAATTCTCCTTCATTTGCATTGGTCCTTATTAGCCGGTGTCACTAACTTACTATTTGATGTAACAACTCAGATCTTTTGACTTATTTATCAGAACAGTTACTGAAATTTAACAAGCATGGAAATAACATTTTTCACTTAAAAATGATATCCAAATTAAAAGTTAGCTCTCAATTTTAATAGAAATAAAAATTGCAAATATTTAAATAACCAAAATGGTTACTTAGAAATGCTATGGTTTATTTGATTAATTTGATTTTAATTCAAAGTGTTATTTGATTTTTTTTTCAATTTTGTAAATATTGAACCCAACAGATTTTAAATAAATTTTTTTTCTTTTTTTTTCATATTTAAATTGTAACTCAGGATTTGCATTAATGAAGTTGTATGGACAGAGACAATAATATCAGCCGAAAGAGACAATCCAAATATGTAGTACATTGAGAAGTGCCTGAAAACCATGTCACTCTAATGTTACATTTATCACTGTTTCTTGAGGAAATGAGTTGGGAATGTAACCACATCATCTGTAATCTGTTCCTGTTATGTTGCAACTAGCCATTCTGAGATCTGTTCTCTGTTATGTAGCAATGGGTGTTATGTTTACCTGTCAAATTGGATATCTGACAAGCCCATAATAAACCTTTTGGTTGAAAATGAATTCAGATCACAAGGCCATTCAAAGGCTGATAAACAACTACTTATTATTGGTAATTACTACACAATTCTATCTTGTTTGTAGCTGGAGAGAATGCTAGACTCTACAAGGACACTTCCTTTCAGACCTTTTACTACAAACAGTCTAACAATAGCAATTTTCATCTTCGTTCTTTCTTTGAAGCCAGTTTATTCATTTTTAATGCCACAATTTTTCTGACTCGGGCAAAAAGTAGCTTCTGATATCTAATTGCTGGGGGGACAAAACAGGCCTTAATAACTGACGTAGTCTCTACAAGTGCTTGCTGGTGAAGACCTTTCTGTTTATAAAATCTTAAGACACTAAAAGTGTAGTGTAGGCTTTTTCTTCAGATAAAGGAGATGTTTTTGGCCAAAAAAACAAAAAAAAAAAACCAAAAAAAAAACAAAAACCTGATGCCTTGAGCTGAAGCTGCTAGATGAATCCATAAATATATTTATTTTCCCAAAAAATGGGTCAGGCAATGAGAAACATGTATTTTGGGTGAATAAGAAAATATCTGCATAATTTTTGCTTGCTCAGTCATCTGAAGATTCTATCATGTACACACCCATTTAAATTAGGAATATAGGTTTTGACTCTCAGCAATTCCAATATCAAACCTTTAATCAAGTGTTTCTTTGTAGATATTCTAATTAATCATTTGGTCTCTTCTTTCATTATAGTTTTCTCAACTTTCTGTGCCCCTATACTCACTTTCATTTATTTACTATGACTAATTTGTTTTCCCCAACCATGAAACTTTATTCATACACTATTAAAATCTTGTGAGGTGGTCACTCTGCCACAGGTAGACAAAACTGTTTGCAAGCTGTCAATGGTTGTCTTAGCCTGAAGTTAAAAAGGTGATCAGACCAGATTACATTGGCAAAAATAAGTTTAAGACTGATTGTTAAAGTTTTATTCATTTCAGAATATGTTTCTAATAAAACAATATAAATTAGTTTTATTATGTATGCTTTATGCAGAATTTATCTCTTTCAAATGATGTAAAAATTGGATATTTTTCTACAACTTGAAAAAATATTTAATGCTAGATTAATTTAAATTATTCAAATTTGCTGGCAAAATAAGTTTAAGACTGCATGGGTATATTTTTTTTCGTATTATTTGTATTCATGTGTGTATTTGTGCACATGCAATGATGCGCCTGTCTGTGCACCAGTCTAGAAGGGCAACTCTGAATTCAAAAAGCATATGTAGCCCTAGCAACAAACATACTATACAGTAAAAGAAAGGATTTTTGCTTTCACAACTGCAGTGTGAAGTTGTAGACTATGATAATGGCAGAAGTTGACTTGTACTATTTGCTTTTAAACTAAGTAAACCCAATTATTTGTGTTGTCAACAATATTTCTGTGGATTTTAAGAATTGCAGTCCTGATATTGAAAGATTGAATGAAAAAGGATACTAAAGAGATGAGTGCTTACCTTTTGTACAGACTGAAAAAAACTTTGCACAGGATGACACACTGATTGAAGATTCCTCTGTATTAGTTTTCCCTAGGGGAAAAAAAAAAAAAAAAACACAAGATTGGGATTATTTCTAATTATAAAAAGAATTTGAAGCAGGTAAATAATTTAGTTTTGTTAAATTTACATTTTTTTTTTAAAAAACATTTTGTTACAAGAACAAAATGATAGCAATTGAGTGACAAGACATCCCATTGAATTAGGAATTGCTCCAAATAGTTTATCAAACAAAATGCTCTGATTTGAACATGGTCTTTTATAATGTTTCTGAAATTTGCATTTTCTCATTTATACAAAATTAAATACCATTTATAAAATTCTAATTAAGTGATAATACTTGAAGATTGATTCAAAGTCATGAATATTAATTCATGACTGAATTATGTATCCTGGGGAAAGTTATAGATATTTTAAATAAGAATTTGTTTATCATATTCAACAAAGAGAAACAAGCAATATCAAATACACTACTTTGTCAAAAACACAAACTCATAATTAAACAGGTTAATATTTATAATGAATAATAGAATATGATACAATTTTAAGCCAAATTAGAAACGTTCTAATTGTTTAAATCTATAAAATAAAAAAAATCATCTCTACCAGACAGCTATGTTTTTTTTTTTAACAGAAACTGTTAGTATAGAACTTAGTTACATTTAGTCATTTCAACAATAAAATGATGAGACCTAGCTGCCAATCAAGTACAGCACTTAAATTCCTAATGTCAGATGCCATATAGGAAAGTCCATCAGAACAATTACTAGGAAAGTATTTATAGAAAAGGCAAGGGGAAGCTACATTAGGGTGGTGGGAAAGTGATTGAAGCCAAGATGCCAGGTCAGGACCAACACAAGATAGATTGGTTGTTTTAACAGTAATAAGTTTTCTTGGATATATGTGTGGGGGGGGGTTAAAATTTGCTATATTTATAGAGAAACAAAGCTCAACAGTCAGGATAGTTTTTGTAGATATAAATAGTACAGACATTGAAGTCCACAGCATGATGACTGGAAGTTTAACACCGAAAGCAATCTTAAATCTTTAGATGATTTTCTGCTTATCACTTAAGGCATAAAACTGCCAATCACCATATTTGATTTCTATATCCAGTGTGTGTGTTTATATATATATATATATATATATATATATATATATATATATATATATATATATATATATATATTAAGAAATGGACAAGGTCCGACAATTTATTTATTAAAGACATTTTATTATGTTTAACGTTGTTATTTTATAGATACAAGTATTTAAGCAAATGCTCTGTTTATGATAAACAGTATTAAATAACATTTACCGGCCTGAATGTCCGAGAAATTTTCATAGAAATGCAGGTTCGAATCCTGTCAAAGAACGAAAATTTTCTATGAAAATTTCTCGGACATTCAGGCCGGTAAATGTTATTTAATACTGTTTATCATAAACAGAGCATTTGCTTAAATACTTGTATCTATAAAATAACAACGTTAAACATAATAAAATGTCTTTAATAAATATATATATATATAATATTATATTTAGGCAGACATGCATGCATGCATATACACACAATGTTTAATTTGTTTTTTTATTGTATTTTCCACATTTATTGAATAGGTTGTTACACATCCAGATCAAAATACTTAATGCTATATATCTTTTGCCACAGGAGCCCATTTTAAATCATATATAAAATATTTTTAATGTGTATAGAATAATTATAGTACAGATATAATATTTAACATAGGCATTTTCTGGGTGGATACCCATATTTGAGTAGATGCTCTGTTTATTTTAAACAATATTTGATTTCATCTACTGGCTTGAACATTCAAGAAATCTTATTAAAGAAAATGCATCCTCTAGCAGAGATTTGAACATGTCCCCCCTGTTACAAGAGAAACATCCATTTGATCTGACATGCTTCGACAACTTGGCTACAAAGAGCTTCTATTTGCCTTTAAATCTGAAGTAAATAGTGCTTTAAAGGCAAATAGAACAATGCTTGATTAAGAAGCTCTTTATAGTCGAGTGATCAAAGAGCAAGAGGCACAGATTATGCGAATATGTGGGGGAAGATAATGGTTAACTCTAGACTTAAACAGGTTAAGATTGTAGTGATTGGGGAGCATCCTCTTGGGAGCTGGTCCCACAAGGTAACAGTTTGTGGGAAGAAGCTGCTTGAATGGAACCTACATCTCACCAATGGAGTATAAAGAGAACGAGAAATGGTTTGCTACAATGGGCATGGAATAGTGGGTTCTAGCCAAGAAAGCCAGGACTGGTGGAACTAAGGAATGTAGTTTGATCACTTTCCATGAAAATAGAAATAAAGCACTGAGAGGCTTGCAATATTTTGTTGGGAAAGGGATTGTAGAGTGGAAAATAATTTATCTACAAGGATGTGGAGATGCTTTTGGACTATCTAGAATGGAAAGTGAAGACTGGGCAGCAGCTGACCATTACTCCATTTTAAGTTTTGATCTTGCTCTTGTAAAGGTAGATGATAGCAGGAGGAGTCAAGTACTTGCTGGAGCAATACAGTGAACTGACCATTTTCTAGCATGTTTAGTGAAAGATCATATGTATGAGTTCCACAAAGTCTGAGCTGTATTTAAGTCCCAATATGGGCTCAAGGCCCCCCAGAAGGAAGATCTGTTCAGCACAATTGGTGAAAGTTCTGAGTATGATTGGCAATGGTGGAACGTCACTAGTTTGGTTTTCAAGGCATTGAATGTGATTAACCAGTTTTTCTCCTACTGAGCTGTTAGTGCAAGGTCAGAGAAGAGATCAGCTTTCAATCTCTGGTTATCTAGGGTTTTGAAGGTGTACCAATATACTGTGGTATCATCAGCATAGATATTCACAAATGATCAGTGTGCACTCTTAGGAAGATCATTTACGTATAGTAGAAAGAGGGCTGGACCGAGAAGTAAACCTTGGTTGACACCTGTGTTGATCATTTGCGTTTCAGAGGACTGGCTATTAACATCTACTTTCAAGAACCAACCCATTAGAAAGGACTAGAATTGAGAAGACTCTTCCAGTGATTTCATAACTAGAGATTTTGTGCAGTAACCCTTTATGCCATACTTTGTCAAAAGCCTTTGAAAATTCCAATATGATCATCTTTGAGATGAATTTGTTTTCTAGTGCTTCACTGATTCTGTGGGTAATTACAGTTAGGATATCAGCAGTGTTCTGGGCTGATCAAAATCCATACTGTCACTCAAGAAGTTGTTCATATAACCTTCTTGTTGATTACAGATTCAAAGAGTATGCTAATGACACTGAGGCAACTGATGGGTCTATACTGTGAGGGGGATGAGCACTCACCTGTATTCTTGAAAAGCAGGCATACACTCAATACCTTCCACAAACTCAGGAAGGATTTCTCTTTCAAGAAGCAGTTAAATAATTTCACTAAGATCAGAGATAACTCCAGGTTAATATTCTTAAGGACAACCACTGGGATTTTATCTTAGGGAAAAGACTTTTGATAAGTTTTGAGACTTCCTGGGCTGTAGTGTGGGGTTGGGAAGATTTAATGTAGAGTTTGAGGCACAGATCAAAGCAAAGAGCTTGCTTTACCTGACAAGGTTGAGATGACCCCAGGGCCATTTATAATAGTAGGCACTTAAGTTTTGCCTCTATTCAGAATTTGGTTAGAGATCTTCCAGAACTCTGAGGATCCAATTTATTTGCTTCCAAACTTGGCCTGGACTGCATATGCATCATTACACTTTGTATTTTCTAGAACTCTCTTGCAGTGATTAAGAACATTTCTGAATGTTCCTACTACACTATTCTTGGCTATAGATATTATAGTCATGGTTATGGTGAGAACCAATACTGGCTATTCAGTTTATGCTGGAATTTATTCTGGGGGTATAAAACTTAATTTCTGTAAGGACCCATTCTGATATGAAGAGTTTTTTTTTTTTTTTGAAAAAACAAAAAAAAAACAAAAAAACAAAAAAAACAAACAAACAAAAAGTAATTCAAAGAATTTTTTTCGTTTTCTTTATTATATCAATCATTTTGCCTAAAGGAAGATGATAAAAGCAACTAAGAAGCAAGGGGGTTACTGAAAGTGAAAGAAATAGAGAGGACAATAAAAGAACAGGGTTTAAAGAGACAAAAGATGATTCATGTTATACCAAAATATTTGAAGATCCTAGTTGACAGGAAAGCAAGAAGCTAGAAGAAAATTCCATAATCAAGAAATATATTGGAGAACAACAAAAAAAATGAAAAACAAAAATACTTAGCACAGAGCTTACAGTCACATCTAGAAATTTCAACAGTGAAATTAGACTTAGTTGCCAACCTAATTCTATGCTTAAATTAGTAAACTTGAGGTACCAAAGAGGAAAGCTCATCTGAACAATTATCATAAAAATATTTATAGGAAAGCACCAGGAAGCTATGTGGAAAAGTGATTTAAGCTGAGATGTCAGGTCAGGACCAATAATGTTGTAGATTCTTTGGATTCTGCCAAGAATCTCTAGATATATACCATAAGTACCAGACCAAATGTAGCAGCAAAGTCAATGCACAGACAAGTTTTAGGCTTGAATAGTAAATAACCTGCTCAACCAACAATAATGAAGAATGTTTAGTTTTTATTTTGGGATCTTATCAAGACTGTCCCAAATTTCATTATATTAAATATTATTTCATTATATCTGCTGTTACAAAGAAATACAATAAGTGCTTGTATACAGAACAACTTTCAGAGAAAGTTTATTACAGTTCACTATATAACAATATGTAAATTTCAGCCTGTATAAAGTGGAGAAAAAATATATGGATGAACTGACAATGGAATAGTACTGACAAATCCTATAACCATTCTTTAATAGGCAATCCTCATTCAATTTTTTAAAATACTTGCTTCCAGCTGGTATGATAGTTTTTACAAAAGTGAATACATATAAGTGGGCACTGAGGTCATTGAGCCACCATACAACACACAGTCTGAAGAGTGTTTAAGCAAGAAACAGATGGCTGCCACTGTTGACCTCAGTGTC